TCTGCATACCTCGAAGGACTCGCTCCAAATGAAATTAAATACGTCAGGATCAACTCACGGAAGAATATTCTGGCAGTTGATGTTCTACACCGTAGTGCGCTGCAAAGCCTACAGAACATCTCGGAAATCGACAGAGTCACAGTTAAATCAGTGATCCCCACTGACTGTAAGGGCAGTGTTGGCGTCATTTATGAGGTGGACATTTCCATGCCCGCTGACGATTTCCCAATCTTGATAAAGCCAACTACAGACGACATCCTCATCAAGCACATCACAAGGCTTGGTCAGTCACGATGCCTGAAGATTGTTTTTGAGGGAGACAGTCTTCCCCCACACGTCAAAGTTGGCCACGTTCGCCATCAGGTCCGTCCATACATACCGAAGCCCCTCCAATGCTTCAGATGTTTCAAGATGGGACATGTCAAAGAAGTATGTACCAGCAATGTCGTGTGCCCGCGGTGTGCCGAACCTCATTCAGAAGACACCTGCCACGCAGCTGCGTTCAAACGCTTTAATTGCCACGGCACTCATAAAACGTCGTCTAAAGATTGCCCACGAGTGAGAAATAAACGCATGGTGCGCGACAATTCAACGCACAGGGAAGCTGCTGCTACTGTCAGGTGACATTGGCGTCGCCACAGAAGATCATCACGCAACGTGGCATCTGCCGATAGAGAGCCGTCATCTCAAGCAAGAAGAACTGGCCCCCCATCGCCAAGCTCTGCGAAGACGGATACACCGAAAACAGAATCAGGGTCAGGACTCACACCTCGTGAAGAGTGGCCATCACTTCCACGAACACAGCCTGTTTCAGAGGTGCATCGATCCCCGCCAACCTCGATGCCATCATGAACCACTGATGAAAAGACAACTGAGGATCGCCAGGTCATCAACATGTTGCAGACCCTTATGAGCGCAATGCGCATGCTCCTAAGCAACATGAACACCCCATCAGCGCAGAGCGTACTCCAAGTGCTGGACACTTTGAGTCCGGTGCTTGCAGCTCTAAGGTAAAACGATGGCCCGCAACATGTTATCCTTTCGCGAAGAGGTCAAGAACGCATCTGTCCTTCATTGGAATACCAGAGGACTTAGGGCGCGTATGTCCGAGTTCCGGCAATATGTATTCACGAACCAGTTCTCCATAATTGTGATTTGTGAGCCGAACCTGCCAGCCCAGATGAGACTGTCTGGATATGAGTGCTTTATGTCTTCTACCCACGGAGAGCGCAGCAAGGTCATTGTGTTCATACGGCGCGACTTAACTTATGTTCATCACCCTGTACCCCCTGACGAAGAAAACCAGTACGTTTGCCTAACAGTAAAAATCAAGAAGACCACATTCACCATCATCGGAGCCTACTTACATCCATCAAGTCGTCTAGACCGAGAGCGCTTGCGCGGAATTTTGAATTACACTCTCCAGCCATGGGGGATAACTGGTGACTTCAATGCCCACCACTACTTATGGGGAAGCTCCAGGGTCGACACTAGAGGTAGACAGTTAGTGTCTTTCGCTTCTGAATGTGAAATTATACTCGTGAATGACGGCAGTCCTACTTATCTGCGTGGATCGGCCTATAGCAGTTGCCTGGACCTCACTTTCGTCTCACGCTCGTTCACACGCAGAGTGCACTGGTTTTCGGATTTGGAAACAAGGGGTAGTGAACACATCCCAACATACCTGAAGATTGACGGCTTTCCAAGTCTCAAGTCTTCCAGAGCCGTCCAGTGCACCAATTGGCAAAAATACAAGTTAATCATGGAAGACTATGTTGGCGCCTCACCTTTCAACCTAGAGGATGCAATAAAGAGTGCCCTACAGTCAACGACGCGTTCGCTTCCGGTGAGCTCATCTCGCACTCATATGGACATTGATCTCGAGAAACTCCGAGCGATTCGTCGTCGTGCAGAACGACGTTATAGACGCACGAGGTCGCTTGATGATCTGAAAGTGGCCAGACGCACACAAAATAAAATACAGCGTCACAGGGACAAGTTGGACAAGCAACGATGGGTATCTTTTTGCGAGTCTTTGGATCCCAGAAAGCGTCTGTCACTAATCTGGAGAACTGTCCGGGGTCTTCGTACAACCATAACTCAGCGCTACCCATTAAAACCTGTGGCACTTCACTTACGCTGCGAAGAGGTGGATGTCGCAGATTCGTTTTGTCGAAAGATTGCCTGCGGCTCAAATTCAACTGGGACAAAGACGCCGGACTTTTCTGTATCTTCACGTGATCCCCGAATGGAGATTCCGTTTTCAATGGACGAACTAAAGGCTGCACTTGCTTTGTGTAGACGTTCTTCAGCGCCAGGACCTGACGACATCACTTACCGCGCTCTGTGTGACCTAGGAGATCAAGCTCGGCAGGCACTCTTGCAGCTGTACAACGACTCCTGGCAAACTGACATGGTTCCACAGGAATGGAAGTCAAGTCGCCTGATTCCACTTCTCAAAGCCGGCAAGTCACCCTTGGACATTTCCTCTTACCGCCCGATTGCCCTCGCGAGCTGTGTGGGAAAAGTTATGGAAAGGATAATTTTAAAGCGTCTGGAATGGTACTTAGAGTTCTACGAAATATATCCACATGCCATGTCCGGGTTCAGACGAGGCCGCTCGTCAATTGACAATGTAGTTGACTTGGTGACATATGCAGAACACCAGAAGGCCTGCAAACGGTTATCTGCTGCTCTTTTTCTTGACGTTAAAGGGGCCTACGACAATGTCACCCACGAAGCCATTCTCAGCGCGCTAGAAGGAGTGGGACTCGGTGGCAGGATATATACGTGGGTTCAGAGCTACCTACAGAATAGAGCATTTCACGTGCAGACAGAGAATGGCCCGACACCCGAGTATTACTGCAGCCGAGGAGTCCCGCAAGGCGGAGTGCTAAGCCCGACGCTGTTCAACCTAACGCTCATTGAACTAGTTGGCAAGCAACCAAGCAGTGTACGACTTTCCATTTATGCTGATGACATCTGTGTGTGGACATCAGGTGTGACTCGACTTCAACTTCGCGCTCGACTTCAGAAGGCAGCTTCAGTGACATCGTACCACTTACGCAAACAAGGGCTTGAAATCGCAAGTGAGAAGTGTGCAGTCGTGGCCTTCACCCAAAAACCAAGGTCCGCTTACGGCATATCAATTAACGGGCAATTGGTGTCATGCAGCCGAAAACACAGGTTCTTAGGAGTCGTAATCGACCGAAACCTGTCTTGGACACCCCACGTAAACCACGTGAAAAAGCGGCTGACTGCCATTTGTCACTTATTCAAGCTTCGTGCTGGGAAAAGTTGGGGAATATCTGTCGAGTCTATGTTACAGCTGTACAAGGTATTATTTACTGGATTTCTGCGGTATAGCCTACATGTTATATCTAACACGTGCAAAACGAACCTGCGCACAATCCAAAATATTCAAGCCCAAGCGCTTAGGATATGCCTTGGTTTACCCCGCTGCGCATCGACTGCTGAAACAATTGCCATTGCACAGGACTACTCGATCATGACGCACATCACCATTGAAACGATTCGTACGTACCTCAGGCAACATGCTAGGAATCCTTCCCACCACTTGGCAACCCTCGCTACTGAGAGGCCCCGCACGAAATTTAGTGTAATTGTCTGTGCTCATCGTGCGTCGTTTACGTCATGTTTTACGCCTGCTGAGAAACTGGTGTATCCTCCGTGGTGCCTGGCACTTCCACAAGTACGTATTTCAATTCCAGGAATACAGAAAAAATCAAATTTGCCTTCATCAGCCCTAAAACAATTGAGCTCTAGCCATCTGCACGAAATGTACAACAACCACGTGCACGTATACACCGATGGTTCAACCACAGCGTCTGGTTCTGGTGGTGCGGTGGTGATTCCAGCTAGAGGAATCACTCTGCGAATCAAACTGTCACATGTCACTACGTCCACAGCGGCAGAACTTGCGGCTTTGCGTGGCGCCATAGAGTACATCAAATCCCAAAGACCGAGTAAATGGGCTGTGTTTTCCGACTCAAAACCAGCCCTACAGAGCATGCAGTCAGTCCTTCGACGAGGTTGCCATGAACAATTAACTTACGAAGTTGTCAAACTCGTTCACCACGTCACAGAAACAGGTCACGAGGTCAAGTTTCAGTGGCTTCCTGGCCATTGTGGAATCAGTGGCAATGATTCCGCAGACAACGCAGCTCGCACATCGCACCAAGAAGAACACACCCTTCCGATTCCTTTGTCAAGGACTGACGCTGCAAAACAACTTCGTCACCTGGAACGTAGTCTGAGTATGCAGGAGTGAAACACCCCAAGCATAAGACATACGAGGCTATACCAAATAAACCCTCGACTCGAACTTCGACCTCCATCCGGACTTCGTCGACATGAAGCTTCACTTCTTTGTCGCTTTTGGTTGGGGGTTGCCTTCACAAAAGCATATAGAACCCTCATCGGATTGACCGACAATGCGGAATGCGACGTCTGCTGCACCGAAGAAGACATCGACCATCTGATATGCCATTGCCCTCGATTTGCCTCTGAAAGACAGAGGCTTTCGGACGCATTGCGACAATTGGACGATCGGCCACTCTCTGTGCAGATGCTACTGGAACACCGTCATCGGCTTTCGTCGGCTCAAAAAGCAGTCAAAGCTGTCTTGTGCATTTTGAGGACTTTTGTGTAGTGCCACCGCTGCATACGCGCCAGCCGATTGACTGACAATCCTCCTTTTTTTTCTTTTTTTTTCTCTCTCTTTTTCTTCTCTTTCCTCTCTCTCTCTCATCTTTATGCCCCCTTCCTATTCCCCCAGCGTAGGGTAGCAAACCGGACATGTGCCTGGTTAACCTCCCTACCTTCCCTCTTGTTGTTTATTCTCCCCCCCCCCCCCTTGTTACTTGAAGCGTGACGCCAAGCGATGACATAATACAAAAGGCCACGAGAACAAATAGCTAAGCTCCTGAAACGTACGCTCGTGCCGTAACGTAGGTTAGTACCGTGAATATGTGTCTTACCTGTAGGAGTCCATATTTGATCTCGATGTCCAGGAACTGGTAGTCCCTAACCTCCTGCGGTAGACATTGTGGCAGGCGATCCTCGAGACAGTTGAGGATGTTGGCCAGGCTGCCCAAAACTGGTTCCGTGGCAAACGCAAGGGTTTCACTGTAAAAAAGAAAGACATTAAACGCATGTTCTGACGTCGGACGTTTGAAGATAAGACACTGCTCTTTGTATCTTTCCGTAAGCTTTATTTGTTCATTTCACTGCCTTTGCGTATCGTTAGCTAAGCTTACGCTGTGAAAGTTGACTTCTGCATTTTTGTTCAGTACATGGCATGATGCTGCTAAGCCTGAAGATTGAAGATGTAGAATTTGGATAAGAAATTATTCGGAGAGCTTTGTAGCGGTTTTTTCAACCACTGCTTATGATGTATCGCAGGCAGGTACAGCGATGGCGAAACTTGTAATGACGTTTACTTTGCTGACCACGCGATGACTACGGAGTACCATACGACGGGAGGAGGTAGAGGAGGGAAACGCAGGAAGGTGCGGTTTACTAACGTGCACCGTGGGAAGGAGATGGAGGGATGAAAAGAGAGAGATAGGTAAAACGAACAGGTATTTGGTTCATCAGGTCTAGCTCAGATTTCTCTAGCAAATACGTATCAACATATTACGGCGTACAAGCTCCGATTTGACAATTGTTGATAAAAACATGAAGGAAATATGTGACGTTAAACCAATAAGATTTAGCCGAGTAGTGGAAAATATGAAATGCTGATAGGGATCGCCGAGAATCAGTAAATAAAGGTAAATAAATGCAACATGTGCAGATTTTATAATAATAAAATTTCGTTAAAAAATTCCAGCGTCCAGCAGGACATCATCAGCCAGAACCTTGCTGCTGCCATGGCTCAAAAGATTCCCAAGAATGGCTAGTTGCAACGAGGCAGCGGACGTCCTCCTGCCGCGCATTCACTGATTTCCCAATAGTGTTTTCGAAGTTCTCCAAACAAGACGACCATGAAAGATGCTGAAATTCTGTCAACTGCATAGCCATTAGTTTGACGAAAGCAGACACTTATGACGAACCGCGTTAGATCAGAAACGCTGAGAATGCAATAAGTTGTTAAGTCATGACTCTTTCGAATAGCTCTCGTAGACCAATCTCTAAATTAGGCACATCCTTAGAGTAGGCCGTTAGCCAATGGCAGATTAGCGGCGCATGACAATGCAATCTCTCCATCTTCATTATCCTTAGTGGGAACACGGCCTGACTTACGTAAGCAAGGGAGCTTGGACGGCTTTATTTCAGAATCGCATCGCTAACGTTGGCATTGTATGGCGGCGCGGCTAGACAACCGGAAAGCGCAAGATTGCGAGTGAAGAAAACAAAGATGGCGCCCAGCCGTGGCACGCGCAGCTGTACGGCTCGCGTTTCCCGCTGGCATCAATTACGGTTCACCCGTCTGTTTCCTTTACTCGTGTGGCATAAGACTTCAGTATGCTTCAGCGCAACTGACAAGACGTCAAAACTAAACGCACCAACTGTGAGCGATTTTCGCGTTACCCTTGCAAGCATACGCGCCACTCGGCTGGTTGCCGTCAAAATATCCACCTTATTGTGCGCGGGCGGTCCTGCTTGTCAGCGCCGTGTGACTTAGCCCGAGTTGCAAACCAGGTGAAGGCAAGCGCACGCTGACAAAGTGTACGCTCGTCTGCGCCCATCATGTACTACAGGCAGTTCCTTCTTGCAGACGTCAACCAGAAAAAAACTCCCAAGCATTTCCCCGAGGGTGAACATGGTTAAGTGCGAATACACGGGGTGATGCTATGAGGGGTATTTATTAATTCGCACTATTATATTTATTAATCACACTATGGTGCCTTTATGGTGTAATGGTTCCTGGGAATCGCAATTTGATCACACGGGGAAGTTTACGTTAACTCACCGGCGAATGCCAACGGATTTTAATTTTACTCCCCCTCACGACCCGCTCTCGACGGGAGACTGAGAGAGAAGGCGGGCGCGCGAGAGAGAGGGGTGCGCGCGCAGCTGCAGCGAGCGAGGAGAGCGGAGGAGCGAGCGAAGGGGGAGGGGGTATAAGGCGCGTTACTGACACCGATACCAGCGTCGCGTCCGTGGCTTATTCGGTAGAGCGTCGCGCTGCGGCCCGCCAAGTCCTTTTTCTTTTAAAGATAGAGAGAAGACTGCGGACGCCGCCGACGGCAGTGGATGGTTTGGGGTCGCTTATAAAGTGTATTCACACTTAAAAGCTCTTCAGACGAATCGTTTTATTTTGCGGTTTACCTCACGAGTGGGAGAGTGTGGCATATGTCGAAATTTTATGGTTCTTCTTTTTCCTTTTTTTTCCTGAATTGCTTGCCGCAACGTTATAGTTCAGAGGATACAATACAAGCAAAACTATTCATGAACACATGTGGCCTGTTCTACCGAGGTGCGCTAAACCGAAGTGACGTCCTGATGAGCAACAGTCTAGCACGTGATAGGCCCTGCTTAGTGCGCCGGGTGCACATGCATTTACCCTAGTCCTGTTATCCTGTTTTCAACTTGCAAACACTCAAAGTGCAAATGCATTTACCCTAGTCCTGTATTCAACTTGCAAACACTCAAAGGCCCAAACATATAGAAAAGTGAGCACTCATGCATAGCGAAAGATTGCGGGCTGCTGTACATTATTTTAAATGAGGTGCATTGTCGTTGCACGTGAAAACGCTTCAAGCCCTTGTACTAATTCTGTGTGCCGTAAAGAAACACAGGTGGTCGAAATTGACAGAGCCACCCGCTACGGCGTATCTCGCAATCATGTGGCAGTTTTGGCACATTATACCCTAGCATTTATTATTTTGCCCGAGGTGTAGTGAAGGGCGCGTGGCTGTTGCAAGCGCTGTCTCACAGCTCCGCGACGTCTGTGGGTGGAGTGACGTGACAAACGCCTACGCTAAACAAAGCGACGTGCCTGCCGAAAATACGTCCTATAACCAGTAGTACCTTTCATCCCGCCGACGCAGTTCGCTTGTAAAGCTCGCTGTTGCTTCGCCGAATGGGCCATGGTTACGCCAGACTGATTTCCACATTTACTTATATCCACGCGCCGCCTTTTTCGTGGGACTACTTGTTTCAGCGCACTCCTACGCGCGCGACATTTCAAGCGTAAGGTAGCAAATTGGGCTATAGTTGGAACATACTCATCTCAATCAGCGCACAGAAAACACAAGAAACGGCGCTTGCGTCGTGCACTTTCTTGTGTTTTTTTGTGTTTTTTTGTGCGCTGATCGTGATGTGATTTCTAGAGTAAGTTTATTCTGATGGCATGCACAGCGGCCACCATTGATTATTAATAAAAACGGATGCGACAGTTGATATTATCTGGCGTTTAAGTCCCAGAACCTTGATATAATGATGAGAGACATCGTACTGAAGGGATCCGGAAAGTTAGACCACCTGAGGCTCTTCAACGTGCACCCAAATCTAAGCACACGGACACCAAACATTTTACCTCCACCAAAAATGCAGCCGCCGCAGCTGCGATACGATCCCGTGACCTTCAGGTTATCAATGACGCGCCATAATCTCTAGACCACAGCGACTGGGTGAATGTGGCAGTTCCAACGGGAGTAAGCAATGCACATGACAAATTCCCAAGAAAAGATTCAATGGGTAAACCAAGGTGCAGTTTGGGCGACATGCTCGCGCGGTCGAGATAATCGATATTGCGGATAGACGTCGCCGGCGAAGGCACTTTGTGAGCTGATTTCGCAGCGGTGGTGGCAAGAGCAAGTGTGCGCATGCGCTTCCGATTAGGCCCGGGAGATAGTCGGCAATAGTTACATCGTAATGCACCACGGATGCGATTCGAGAGCTCTGCACGTGTGCCCAAGCGGGGATGGTAGTGCTGCGGCAAAAGAGCACGCCGTCGATATTCCCAGTCCCGATAAGAACATCAGCGCTGCTCGACGTTGCTTTTGAAGCGTGTAGAAGCGGCGTCAGTCTCATCAACGACGACCAGCCACGGTGGTCTAGTGGTTATTACGCTCCACTGCTGGCCCGAATGTCATAGAACCACGACCCGGCGACGGCAACCGCGTATAAATGTAGGTAAAGTTACTGAAGACCCATGCACTTATAGAGTGAAATGCACGTTAAAGAATATCGAGAGTTCAAAATTTACAGAACCTTAGAAACTACGGCGTCTCTCATAATAACCGAGCTACTCTCATAAGAGGAGCTCGGTTGAACCATAGTCACCCAATAAGGCGTTTTTAGGCGCGTCTGGATGGCTTTAAAAATTCTTTTTTTTCCGTATAGTATAGAAGTGTGGAATAGACTTCCAGAGTTCGCTGTTACTAGCGCAAATGTCAAAGCGTTTGAGTGTTCGCTAGAATTGTACTACCGGCAACATGAAACGTAATGTCTGTCTTGTCATTGTGTATTGTTTTTGTTTTGTGTTTATATTACTCCCTGTAATGACCCTCAAGTGAGGGTTACAGTATTAAAAAATAAATAAAATAAATAATCATATCGGTGGTCTTGGATTTTGAAAAGTTCAAGTGACTCTTAAACAAAACATAGAAAACAATTCATGATAAGCACACGTTCAACAGGTGGCCGTAGCGCATATATATTAATATCTGAGAGCTTACGTCCATAAATCACAAAAATAATAAGAGGGACGTCGTAGAGAAAGACTCTGGTAATTTCGACCATTTGGTGTTCATTAACGTGCACCAACATAACGCAGTACTAGGGCCTCCGCCCTCTTCGCTTCCATCAAAATGCGACCCCCGCGGCCATGATTGGATCAGCGACATTTGGGTCAGCAGCTGAGCACCACAGCCATTCATCCACAGAGGTGGACATGGCCATGCTACCTGTCGGTATTCGATGATATTGCTGCAAGCGCACTTGAAAGCGCGTATCTCTTTTTTTTTCTTAATTGTAACTGCAGGAAAGCCCGGAGGGTTAGAGAAACAAAGCGCACCCGTCAAACGTAGGCGCTCATGCATATTCACTAAGCACATCCATCTTTTCAATAACCTAGCCCTGGGCAATCTTCTTTCGAAAATTTGGGTGTGGGAAAAAAAAGTCAATAAATGTAAGAACTTCGTGAAAAGAAGCGGCGTGAATGAAAGCTTGCTTTT